GAGAATGATCTGGGAACACAATGCACAGATTGTAGTCTGTCTGCCAGACTCAAACAGCCAGGTATAAAACACACACATACTCCATGTAGAACTTATAGATACCTATACATATAGATATATCTATATAAAACTACACACACATAAACATGTTTCCTGTTTATCTCAGAGAGACGAAGAGTGTCGTGCGTACTGGCCCAGTAAAGACCAGCCCCTGAGCATTGATGGCTTCACTGTGTCATACTCCAGGGAGGAGCACATGTGTCTGTCTAATGATGAGAGACTTTTAGTGCAGGACTTCACAGTCCAGTCTCCACAGGTAACACGCGATAAAAAAGAATATTTTACATCAATCAAAATGTTTTAATACAGTCTGAGACTTTAAAACTGTTTTTGCATCTAGAACAATTATGTGCTGGAAGTGCGTCAGTACAGCACCACCTGCTGGCCCAACCCAGACAGTCCGATCCGAAACAGCTTTGATCTCATTAACAGAGTCAGAGAACAGAGCACGCACACACAGGGACTGGTGATCGTACATGATCCGTGAGTATGAGTCAGACTCCTTTTAAGGACATAAAACTGTTTAAATCCGTCTAATGTTCTTAATGTTTTTTTTGTGGATGTGTAGTTTGGGAGGTGCTACGTCAGGACTGTTTTGTGCCCTCACGACCCTGTCCAATCAGCTAGAGGAGGAGGGATCAGTAGATGTCTACCAAGTGGCACGGATGACCAACCTCATGAGGCCTGGGGTATTTAATGATATAGTAAGTACTGGAATGTTTCCTTTTAATTCTCATCTACCAGCATAATTTAGAAAAAATAAATAAAATCAAATACATTGCACCAAATCACAACAACAGTCCTGTCAAGGTGCTTTATATTGTGAGGTAAAGACTCTACCGTAATACAGAGAAAACTCCAACAATCAGAGAACCTCTTATGAGTAAGCACTTTGGCAAAAGCAGGAAGGAAAAACACACTTTTAACAGGAAGAAACTTGCGGTCACCGGACCAGGCCGTAACTATATGCATTATCAAAAAGGAACGTGTTAAGCCTAATAAAAAAGTAGGGAGGGTGTTCGTCTGGCCAAACTGGAAGCTGGTTCACAGAAACAGGGGCCTGAAAGCTGAAGACTCTGCCTCCCATTCTACTTTTAAATACCCAAGTAAGCCCACAGTCTGAGAGCTAAGTGCTCTATTAGGGTGATGTGATGCTATGGGGTCTTTAAAATAAGAGAGGACCTAATTATTCAAGAGTTTGTATATGATGGGAAGGAATTCAAATTTGATTCTGGAGTTAACAGGAAGTGTGCTCTCTCTTTCTCGTCCCTGTCAGTACTCTTACTGCAGCATTTTGGATCAACTGAAGGTTTCAGGGGGGTTTGTTTTGTTTATTTAGGACAATCTGATAATAATGAATCACAACTGTCCAGCCTAGAAGTAATAAATGGATGAGACAGGTAACAAGTGCAAGCTTTTACCAGTGTTCTGCCTCTTTACTCCCTACAGGAGCAGTACCAGTATCTGTACAGAGCGGTGTTGAGCCTGGTGAGCAGTCAGGAGGACCAGAGAGCTCTGCAGAATCCAGAGACCAACGGATCTGTACCGCTGGGCCAGACCAACATCGCAGAAAGCCTGGAGTCGCTCATGTAGACATCCACACAAAAATGCGCGTGAAAGAGAAAATAAATCACACGAGCGCACATTTGAGATTACGAGGAGAAAAGAGTAGGTCTGCTGATCATGCTAATACTTTCATTTACCACAAATTCAAAAATCATTATTTATAAGATCATTTTTCAAAACAGAACAATCTAATGAAATGACATTTAATCTAAAAGACCTCTGGTCTAAAGTCTTTTCCCTTTCAATCACTTATTATGAAGAAACTTCTTACTCTGCCCGACAAGTGATGATGAAACACCTGAAAGCATCCCTTTTGTTATGTTAGCATGCACAGCAGACAAGGCTACCAGATGAGAGAAAAAGGTACCCTTCTGCTTCTAAGGGACCCTTTATAAGTGAACAACAAACAAAACCCTGCATCATTTATAACAATACATTATTATTTTATTTTTAATCATCATTTAAAGCATTAGTTGGAATTAGGTCCTGAGTTCAAGTCCATCAGGCCGGGGTCTTTCTGTGTGGAGTTTGCATGGCCTCTCCGGGTACTTTGGCTTCCTCCCACAGTCCAAAGACATGCAGTTAGTGGGGTAAGGCTAATTCGAAACTCTAAATTGCCCATAGGTGTGAATGGTTGTCTGTGTTAGCCCTGCGACAGACTGGTGACCTGTCAGGGTGTGCCCTGCCTCTCGCCCTAAGACAGCTGGGACAGGCTCCAACTCCCCTGCGACCCTGAAAGGATAAGTTGAAGAGAATGGATGGATAGTTGGAATTAGGTGATAGTGGTAAGAAAGTCTCCATGTCTGTACCTGACACTGGTCAGCATGAAGTTTTTTTGTTTATTTCTAATGACAGATCCCTTATAATTAAATTCAATCTGTCTATTAATGTTTCTTTTATCTATTGTTTCTTTCATTTTATTAGTATATTCTTTTATTACCGTCATAGGTTACACCTTCCTTCTAAGAGAAAATAAATCAATATTAGAGAAATGCACAGGCAAAATGGAATTGTAGAAATGCCGATAAATGTAGATAAAGTGCAAATTCTTACTTTATTGTTAAAAAGGGAAACAATGCAAGACAACCCTTCGTTTCCCTGCAAAATATCAAATGCACTGCACATTAACCAGCACATTGTGGGGCTTAAACTACCACGTATCCTTAATTACAATCATGTTCTTACTAGCCAAACCTCTCCGAGGCCTCACTGGTGAGAACTGAAGCAACTGCTCGTTTTTTTTTTTTAACGTTTACGTCACCTTGCAACTGGCTCCATGGTCCGTGGTACCCAGTGCCTTTTGTACGTCACGTTATTGTACTTTTAAAAACCTGTTTGTGTGACTAATATGCCAAAATCCTGGTGAGGTATTTTTATCTATTTTCTTAAAGGTGATTCCCTGTGTTGGTGATCTCGTTAAAAAAATGCCATCAGTTTCAGCTGTTTTGTTTAAAAAAGGAAAAAAGAAACAAAAAAGATCAAATCTGGGATTTAAAGTGATGTGCGGCTCAAAATCCATTTGAAAATAAATCTTAAGAGATGACATTTCTTATTTTCTTATAGATGTAGGCAGAGATAAGATTTTTTTTTCTTTTTTTGCCATCACGTTGTAAAAATTTACTGCTGTGAAACAAGACAAGGGAGGAATTAATAGAAACTGCCCATTTTCTTGATATTTTGGGAGGCTTAACGTTCTGTTAATACTCAGCGGCACAGGCTGGCAATGAAATTCTTGGTAGCGCTTGCTGTGACTGTTTCCATTTTTCTAAAAGGGTCCAAGTATTTTCTATTGCGTCAGACACATTTAGCCAACCTGTGAATCTCTTTCTGGTGTAAATCACAGAGACCGCAGCTGAACACGCTCAGAGCAGTCCTAACTGGAATAAAAAGTCTTTATGTGTAAAGATCCCAGAATACTTTAAAGGCCAAATTACTGTATGTTTATACTGTACCTCTACATATTTTCTATTTTACTACAAAAAGTGATTTTCTAGTCCTTTCCACACACACACACGCACACACATACATATATATATATAACTGTGTGGATTCTATTTGATAATTTTAGCCTGGAAAAATTGATCATGTTTATAGTTTTAATGAAATGGCATCTCTTTTTATCTCTATAATTACAGTAGCAGCTTAATGTCTACACCTTTATCTCCAGCTATGAACTGGTGCTGTATGTATAATGCAACAAGATTAAAGATTTGTTCAAACCTTTATTGTAGACATCTTCTCGTCTTTTCAAATTATCATTATTGGACTCAAAGAGAAGTAAAGACATGGAGCATTACATGTTTATCACACTTTTATTTTGACTATAATACACTGTATTGCATTGTCTCCCCTGATGGACCTGTACATGACATGATGGCAAAGACAAAAAGTCAAATAATCCAAAGCACAACCACGAAAAGTTACCAAAGATAAGTCAAAACCAAAAATATAGATTTCTATATGATCATATTAATGTTTATCTTTACACATTATACTGTAGCAGTCACAAAAAACTAGTAGATAAAGTGTATATAGTGCATTAAGAATAAACCTCGTTGTGCAGTGGGAGTTAAGAGTGCCCACCCTTCCTGCACTCTGCCTGGATAGCAAATCTACACAAACCCACTCTCTCATAATAATTGTGTGACATCTCTAAATCCTCACACAGCTGAGTTCCCATACACCTGTTGAATTCCAAACATTTCTAGCAGTGGGTGTGTTTACATGCACACGGGGAATATCTCCTGTTTTTTTATTAAGGTATGACGATTCAGCCCCGGGTCGCGCTTTTCAGGCAGAAGGTTTTCCGAACTGAGACGCGTTTCACTTTCAGTTATTTAGTAAGAGGAAGAGTACTGTTAGTTTTTTTTTAATGCTTATGACTGTATACCAGAATTCTTCTTAGTGCCTTTGGCAAGCATTCCCTACTATCAGTGAGGCCTCAGGGCTGCTTCATTTCCTTTCCCATTTTCATCTTTGAGATTCTAAATTTTACAGTGTAAACAATTTTACATTTACAATGTAAATGTAAAATGTCCTTCCTTCTTTACTCTTTACAATGTGCATGTAAACGCATTCACAAAGTTGTTTATTTTTGCCAAAAACAAAACATCCTGAATAAAATACACCACAAAACCTCATCATCGTACATTTCCCTGTTTCTGATCACATCGACTGCTCATGATGATTTCTTGGCATTTAGCTTCACCGAATGTTCACAGTAGCAGCTAATTAATGGGCACGTCATAATTTTTCTCAGTGTGCACACTACCTGCCTGACAGTGGCTAGAATATATGTATGTATATATATATATATATACATATATATACATATATATGTATATGTATATATATGTATATGTATATATATATATTTGTATTACTAATTTATTTTTATTATTTTATTTATTTATTTTACACGAAGTCAAGCCACCAGTAGTCACAGGTAAAGTTAAACTTTAAGCAGTGGGATTATTTACTGTCCAAGTAATTGTCATTTAATTCAAAGTACAATTAGAGTGTGGTTCTACTTCCTTAAATACATTTCTTATTTCAAAATAAAAGCTTTGGGCAAGTGAGGGATTCAAGGAGTTCAGGGAAGCTTTAACCCTGTAGAGTTTTAAGCCTCGTCTTCATGTAAAGCAACTTGTTTCTGGTTGTTGGTGGACCAGCGCACAGATGACCCTCTTTAGATGACCTAGAGTTACTGCACGACCACATTTCAATGGTTTTCGTTACCTCCATTGTTGGCCACTAGAATTGTTAACCTCGAAGATGAAAGAGCTTTAACTTGGGTTGACATTTAATGGTTATTTTTCCCTTCATCACTTCAACTTGATGAATTCAAATGATATTATGCAGTCTCTTGGTTTGTCACGCGATCACAAGGGTGACGTGATGCACAGTCCTCCAAATGACACGGCAGGTTTAGGTCACTAACGCCAAATGTAAACACATTTGTTTACATAACAACTCCACGAGGAACCCTTACTGAGAAAAACTGAAGCACTACTGGAGACTCACTAAAATACAGCAAATTATTATTATTGCTGCTAAAAAAGGCCACATTTAATTTGTGGGGAGGTGAATAAAACCCAGGCCCCTGTTTAAGAGTTTGTGGTGTTTCATTATTAAATGCTACGTGATAAATGAAAGCAAAGTTAACATATGTAGTCTTGTGCAATAACACTGAGTCCAAATACAAGTAATACAGACAATAAAATAAATTGTATATTTCTTATTGTACAATATAGAATTTTGGAAAAATAGCTACATTCTCTACTTTGGCTAAAAGCACCACAACTTCCACCTGTTTCAAGCATAGTGTGAGAAACTGAAGATCATCAGAATCTCTTCTTTTTTTGTGGATATTATCACATTGATGTAAGAATCACGTGTAGAGACGAACTTTGCTCATTGGAGCTAAAATCCGTTCATCTCTTTGGAAAAATATCCGGTCCCCGGCAGGAGACACTACGGGTGTTCCGCAGCATTTAAAAAAAAAGGCGATGTTTGACACCTCTGCTAATTCCTATTAAGAAATAATGATTTATAGCACTTCAAGATTTTATAAGTAGCACCTTTGAAAGGCAAGAAAAAGGAAAGTGATGTTTGTTGAGAGCAGCCCAAGGTGTTCACCAGGGGCAGCTGTTTGTTTGTTTTTGTTTTTTTGCATTACTATAACAGGATTCAGGGATTTAGGAGATCAAGACAAAACAAATATAGAACTAAAGCGTAATATTCGGTTATGCATAGCTCTTTTTTTTAATGTGCGTATGTGAGTGCGTGTGTGTGTGTGTGTGTACACAACAGGCTCTGTCAGTTGTCCTCTTTTCTTTTCTGTAGCCTTAATTTCCTTGACAGCCCTGCAAGACAAAGAGGCAGGATGAAGCAGAAATACAAAACAGTGGGTGAAGCTGTGCAGGCGCATGTGTGTACTCACAGAGTTGGTTCGTTTCCGTTTCCAGCAGTCTGGGTTGAGTCTTTTCTGCTCGTCTGCGAGTGCTTTGGCCTGCAGGGTGAACACGCGACGCTCCTCACTTCGCATTTTCTTCCACCGCTCACCGAGGAGGACGCTGATGGCTCTGATGGCAGACGCACACATTTACTAACACACACACCTGATTACTCCTACACAACACCCACGCTAACAACCATGGCATGCACCCACCTGTTGTCTTTGCCCGGGTACATTTGCGTGTATTCCACTCTGAACTTCTTGGCAAACAGCATGAATGCATTCATTGGCCGCTTGCACTTAGTGGGTGTGGCGCTGCTGCCTCCTTGTGTACTGAGCAGCTGGTTTTTGGGGGGCTTTTGCTTAGTGGCGTGGGAATGACTGGGACTGTGCACATCTGTGGGTTCAAAACAGGGTTCACATGAATTTTTTTTTTCAGGGATTTTTGCATCTTGCAAACTGAACGGTATCAGTGAGTAAGTAATAATTCAGGAGATTTGAAGTGCAGGACCTTGAAGCACGTCTCTGTCTGGAGAAACAGCTCCCCCACTGGACTGGGAAGCACGCCGCCTTCTCGCCATACTGCTCAATACGTAAACCGCCGAGGAGTCCAGAGGAGTGAAATCATAACTAAGTATGAGACAAACAGAGGTTGATTTGAAACTAAGTGGTGTTTATTTTAGGCTTAGCTGGTTCAAACAAGACTATTTTCCCTCTTTTTTTCACCCCAAACCACAGCCTCTATATGGGCATTTGATTACTGTTTTAAGACCTTTCCCTTAGTACTGAGTCATTTTCGCATAACACTGTATTTAAGCATGACACTGCAAACATCTGCTTTACCTTTTAAATGTGTCAAAGACTGGAGAATCCTCTGTGTGCTTGGCGTCTCTGTGTCCCGGAGGCAGGCAAACATCTCCCACTTCCATTTCATAACATGGTATCCCATAATGCACCACAGTCAAGCTGGGGTAAAAGGATGACCAGCCTGACGACAGAAAGGAGGATGAAATGTCTGCAGAGTCATTGATGCTGTTTAGTCTCTTTAAACCTTGACCACACTTGTACCTTTGTTTTTGACATAGAAGGGGTGATCCAGTTGGCAGCGGGCAGTCAGGGGGATATATCCAAATGTGCCGGGGTCAAAGGTCAGTTGTAGAACAGCCTGACCAGACAACACAATCTCTGCATGCTCCACCAGCTGCAGACCCTCAGAGCCATAACTCTGCAGAAGAACAAGTGGTATTTTTACCTCACTGTGTGATGTCTTTTGGTGGATCCCTGCTTGTTTTTTTTATGCATTTTCTCCCAGCAGTCTGCTGCTTGCTTAACGTACCTTCAGAAATCTAGACTGCTCCTCATCAGCAGAGTCTTCCTCAGCAGACTCCAAGTCCTCAGCTTCTCGCCACTCTATATTTGAGCTGCTGTGGAAATGCAGACGAGTTCCTGGTGACAGAGAGGAGCAGTGAGCTACTGTGAAATGAAAGAACACAATCAGTCCATCTTGACTGAGTGTGTAAGTGTTGTACGTACCCTTGAGAAAACAGTGCCAGGCAGTGGGTGGGCAGGAAAAACTCCAGCCCATGTCTTCATCATCAGACAGAGAAGATCTGGTGGATACTGCAGAGCCACATTCACTGCTTGTCTGTGGAAAGATACAGAAGCATCATCAGGATCAATGCATGCTGTAAGAAGCCAGAAAAGCTCTGGAGGTTTCACCAAAAAAAACACTACTGTATTAAACGTATACAATTATAAAAGCAGTGGTGTAAGTGAGTTTTCATAATTGACTGTGGGTGGTTTTGAAGCACAGGAAATAAGAAGGCTCTACCCTGCAGCGCTGACGCTCCCTGCCGTGACCTCTGAGGGACGACAGGGGGCTGCTGGGGAGAGGAGGAGGAGGCCGAGCGTAGGAATGTAGATCACTGCTGCTGCTCGGGATGCAGACTGAAGAAGAACTGCAAAAAGAGAGGTTTGTGACTGTAAATGCTCAGAATGTCCACTTACGTGTTGCTTAAAGAGGGCTCAAGGACACAAAGAATTGTGTAATAAAGATGATGTTCTGAAGCTTGCTGTTGTCACTCAGATGTGGTGCTAAAGTTTTTCTACTTGTCAACACGAGCTGTAACTTTTGGTATGTTTAATGTCAGCAACTCGTGTGCACAAGTAGAAATATTAGGCATAGACTATATAACATCCCCTCTTTGAAGCTGAAGTGTCTTAGAAAGACTGCCTCGTTTTGGGAAAAGTCATGTGACCAAACAAGAAACTATAGAAAAAACTAAGATAAGTGTTTGATGAGGTTATAACAATGAAAAAGTAAGTCCAATTGTAAATGTTTCACTAATACATGTGCAGTACCAGATTTCCCCAGGAGATGGCGCTAGTTTTGTTTCCATGTTCTCTGGTTAAAAACAATAAACCATTCTCTGTTGCTTCACTTGCTGCTTCAGTACTTTTCACGTGTGGAAAAGAGATTTTTGAAATGTGATTTTTTAAATTTGGAGGAGAAAACAACCAAGAGAATAAAGCCTTTTTCTGACACACTTTTTGTTGTAATGAAGTATATACATCTATGTTTAAGGTACAGTCTGTAAACTGTTGAAGTTATTTCACAGAAAAAAAATGTTGTATTCATAAATATACACTGATTAATGTGTAATCATATCTTGTCTTCTCATAAACTTAATACATTACAAATACAAAGGAGAACACAGCACTTGTTGCCCTGCCATACAGTGGTGGAGAAAGACATCGTGCTTCTGCCTTACTGTTTTATGTATGCTAGAGAACGGCCACATATGTTGCATGCCTTATAAGTTACTTTTAATTTAAAGATCACAAGTTTCTCTTTCAAACTATATATGATATTTTAACAATTGTACATTATTCTCTTTCCTCCCTTATTTCCACCTCATCAGAAGAAGCGGCTTGAGGTGGTCATGTCAAGGCTCTAACATTTTAATAAACATTTTTGTGCGTGTTAGATATGTGACCTTCTTGTTTCCATACAACTAACAATGAGCTGGCAAGACAACAACCACAGCTGGTTATGTGGTAACATTATTCCATGTAATGTTAGGCTCAAGTGACCTGACATCTTTCCCTCTGATAAACTTTTTTTAAATTACATTCCCACATTATTTGAGGCTCTGTACAGCTATTATCGGACAGAATTGAGCTTCTCAGACTCACTGACTCGCATCAGACTCTTTCCTCAAGGTTTTACAGCCTCCTGCAGAGTACACAGATGTGGACACTGGCTGAGGTAAACAGCAGACTGACCTACACTCACTACTGATGAACGGCAGCCAGAGTTGATTGCCACACAGGGGCCACTGTAGTTAGGATAACAAAACTCATCTGACTGCAATGTGCAATATACTGACATCTAGTGGTCATATTTTACATACTTTACCTTTAAAGGGGATAATATATTGTTACAGTGGTGGGTTGTCATATTAATATAGCTCCGGCGTTTCAAATAGTTATGTCAGCAAATGTGCAAGTAATGTCTGTGAGTGAAAAGCTCACACCTGAGACAACTCTACACTTGGTTTCAGACATTTTTTCTACTATTGGCCCTGTATGATGTGAGGGAGACCAGAAAGGTCTAATATTGTCATCTACAGAGGGACTTATATTCATGTGTTAAATATACACTATAGGTGCATCATAACCATGAACCCTTCTGAAACACTATCCCATAACTTACACCATAACCTGGAAAGAACATAGACTCTACGTAGATTCAGCACAGATGTATCACAGGTAACCCTCTAATGTGTTTGAAAGTTGAGAAAAATTGATCTCGGGTCACTAAATGTCACGGTGCTGTGAGTCACTTCACTTTGTTTACAAGACAAATTAAGACTATACACACTTCCAGTTATTTGTACCTTCAGTAAAGTATTCAAGCTTTGTTTAAGAGGCATGTACCTACCTGCTGTCAGGAGGCTCCTGTAGCAGTGGACTCTGAGGTCCAGTGGCAATGTGTGCTAGCTGTGTCAGCCAGCGTGTGTCCGGAGGCTCTGGTCTGTGTGTCTGTGTGTTTTGTTCCTGGTGTGACACACCCAACTCCACCTGGTACACAGGTGGTGATGTTGATTCCGTCTCCTCTCGAACCTCCTGTAGATCTGGGAGGTCATCTAGGAGAAGTAAACAGACATTAGAAACGGATAAATTCCTTTTGATAAGAGCTGAAGCCTGCAAGCTGCTTCCTCGTGTCTTACATACCATATTCCATGTAACTGTCACTGGTGGGGAATCCGGGCGAGGAGGGGAAGTGTTCGTCACAGCGCAGCGAATCATGCGATTGGTCTCCATCTGCATCCATCATCATTTCTGAAGGTTACAGCAGAGTCACCACATGCTTTAACGGTTTGACGGGGCTTTAAATAATTTAGTTTAGTCCAACTTCATTATACATATACAGCACCAAATCACAATAACAATCCCCTCAAGCCATTTTATATCACAAGGTAAAGATCCTACAATAATATAAAAACCAAGCACTTGGTGACAGTGGGAAAGACAAACTGAAGAAACCTTCAGCAGAACCAGGGTAAGAGACATTTAGATCTTGACCTCTCTTTTTTTTGTAAGGCTTTTTGACGGCTTCATCATAGCACAGAAGCATGTTTAACAAACTGCTGTAATCAGTGGTTACCTGTGTCCTCAGCCTGAGGCTCGGGCTCCGGCACTTGGTGACATTTAGAGTGACCTGACAGCACAGTTGGAGTCACCACCTCCCACACCATGATGTCCAGGCACTAAAACATACAGAGTGATTTACATGAGTCTCAGATACATGACCCAGAATTAAGGCTAATCTATACACTTGAATCAGCATTAGCCATGTTCCCAATCCCCATGGGTCAGCCGCAGGCACGCACACACACAGAAACATAATCCCTAACTGAGCTGTAATGTATAGGCTATAAATGGTTGCGGTGGCATAGGGGACAGTAGCCTGGCTGCTATTCCCCTCTCATAAACAGGTTTACTATAGACACATTAGACCCGTTCCACTTCACTACCAGAGGGACTAAAGACGAGAACTACCGCAGACCCCGAAGAGAACTTTTATCTATTTTATAATTTCATAATCATGTGACGTCTTGTTTATAAACTTCGTTCCTGGACGCATGCGCACAAAAAGCCCATTCATTCAATACGGAGAAAGGGAGCGATAATAAGAGTTGAAGAAAGTCGTCAAAACGAATAAAAAGCAAAGAAATGAAATCACCCAAAGCTAACGCAACAGCGTTACGTCACGGACTGCCCGTTTTGAAACGCGTCACTCGAGCATTTTGTATCGAAACTAGCTGTCGATAAAATTGTGTTTGTACTTCGACAAGAAAGTGGCCAAAAACATCTCGGGTTTTATTAAAACGCACCGAATACATTCTCAAAACATGTTCGGGGTGAAAATGCCATTAAATGGATGAAAATGGACGAGCTACACGGTTGCGCAAAAGACATTACAACAAAACAACAAACGTCAACAATGAAGCTTTACGGGGCGAGCGGCGCAAATGTATTTTACGACAAAAAACGCACGGTGTCAGCTTCACGCTGTTGCTCCGACGCCTAGTTCAAGGAGAAACAAATCAAGTTGTGGAGTCGCTTTTTCGTTTCAACGCTTTTAAACCTATAAACTATTTCAATGAACTTTCCTTAACTCACCAAAACAGTCTCCCTGTACGGAAAAGTGGGTAGGTATAAACACAGTTTCACAAGCTGTGCTATTGGTCACAATCGACGTCAATCCGCAACTTCTCTTGCGCTCATTGGTCAATTCCATTCCAGCTGGTTTTGTACATTGTGATCCCCGCAAAAAAAAAGTTTGTTAAAAATGTATCGTGTGTGTCTACTTTTCATTTTTATTTGTTTTCTTTTCTTTTATTACATGTGAAGCTAAATAGAAAGTCATTTCCATTAGCGCAATTTTACAATATCACTCTAAAATGAAACAGGAGTCGTATGCTTGACTCAAGCGTCTTTTTGTAAAATAACTACGAACATCGGCGGTCAAACAGCCTTCAGCTCAGTTCTCAGATCCAGCGCAACAAAAACACTGGGGGGCGCCATGTTGCCTGGTTAAGGTTTCTGTCCCACACACCCGTTTTTTTATTTGTTTGTTTTTTCACCAAAGTTTGCAACTTCTGTGTGAAGCGATTAAATAGGTCTTTACTGTAATTATAGATGTCTATGTAAAGCCGAACATATAGATTTCAGAATTTGCTGTGTGATATTCTCCGTTTTGGCGACTGTTTTTACAAATCAAATATGGGCAACCGATGTTATCATTATGTGAAATGAGTGAATACACATCAGCGTACTAGTTTGAGCAAGACCCAGAAACATTAAACTCATCAAACCAGTTGAGCTTTAGGAGCATAACTTTAAGAGCACTACATGCAGCAAAAACAGTGAGGCGACCACGCCATTAGTAAAACACGTGGAAAGTACATGTTTAAACAAATGTATTTATTTTTAAAAAAAGTATTGCGTGACTGCAGCTGGCACTAGGTATTTGATATGCAATTTTGTCAGTCACTACCCTCTAGTGGTTACGGAGACTTATAGCAAGCCCGATAGATTAAGTTAGATCTAGTTACATATGCACATTTCCAGCAAATATTTCACAATAAATTAATAAAACACCAACATAAATGGAGCAACAACGACAGTGGGTAGCTCAACATATTTTATTCGTAAAATTCGGATCTTGTTATTTTTGCCCTTATTCCTTCATAAATGTATTACGAGCGCATGTATTGGTAGTAATGTAGTTTCCTACTGTAGCCGCCAGAGGGCAGTGAACAACGGCAGTTCTACGGCATCGGATCTGGCATGATGCTGATGCCAGAAAGCACTAACTTAATTAGGGAACTATGCAAGTATGTATAATAATAAAAATAATAAATATACATAATAATATTGCTTTTATAGCTCTTAAATGCTCCCTCTAAACATCCCTTCACTTTAGTTTGCCCTTAATATTTAAATGCTTTACCCTTTTTTGTTTTTACGTATTTTGCAGAAAGCGTGTTCAGCTTGGTGGGGCCATGTCACTGACTGTAAATATTATACATAATAACTTTCTGCACTGGTCTATGAGAGCATGGTGTCGCGTAATGGTATTTTATTTTGGAGAGAAGCCGGAAGTGTCGGTGTGACTCTGACTGGGCAAAAGTTGGCCAGAGAGTTTGACAAAGTTTCTGAGTAGAAGCGCCGCGTTTCCTTAACCACAAACTGTGCACATTAGCTTGAAAGTATCATTTACTCTATTCCGTGGTCTCTTCTTTTCGCATAAATGCCGAAACTTTTGTCCAAAGCTCCGGATTTCGTTGCCATCTTCGTTCATTGGTGAGTTTTTATAAATTTTATTTTACAGAATTACCGCCTCTCCTTTCGATTATTGCGGCAGCTGTACCGTTACACCACAGGCTAACCCTGCTCGGCTGTGGTCATGTTAAATACAGGCTGAACTATCCCCACCAGTAGATGCCCCACGGTCACTTTTCAAGTGTTTTTAAATGTTTGTGACACAGTCGTCAAAACAGCAGACTGTCACTAAAGCCACTTGTAATCACATCCATGTTGTTTTGAGTTTTGCTTCCTGCTTTTCAAAGCTTCCTCTGCTGATGTGACAGAAGCAGAAGGGAAACCCCGGCCATTTAATCCTGAACACGTCAGCCAGTGAAGATGATTTGAAAGAAAAGATGAAAAAGTATTTAGTTATTAGTGAGGTATATGAGTAATACCGTCTTGGTAAATCTTTACTTTCCCAAAAGCAGTGCCAGTACATGCAGTCGCCCTCAGTGTGTTTATTTTCTGTGTCTGATTCTGAAGTGTAGTTAGAGGTAACATTTAGATTGCAAAGTGTATTATTCTTGTATAGGTCTAATTATAGAGAGCTGTGTGTGTGTGTGTGTGTGAGAGAGAGAGAGAGGGGGGGGGGGGTGTCAGTAAAACATTGAAGGTCTGTGGGCTGATTGCTACATCTGCCTCTGCACTGACTGACTGAATTTTTCTGATACCAACTTTTAGGAAGTATGCCAATCTAAAACTGGATCTTAAAAAAAGAGAAGTAAACTGAATTTATGATGTGAATAAATGGAAAATAAGTTTAAAAAAAGAAATCTGAAGTCTTTCTTAATCTGGGTAAATTTGCTGACACAACATTTTGCTGACATGAGGAGGCGTTGCTGGAAGATGCTTGATACCGGGATGGCTCTGAGTCGTCTATCTTCGAAGATGCTTTGGTATTTTATATTTTCACCAGCCAATCATGGCCTGTCTCAGTTTCCAGCATCAGCAGGAAACACAGCATGTTTCCAATTTCAGAGTTTATTGAAGGGAAGGGCTCGTCACAAATTAATGACACCAGCGCGTTGGATTTTTTTCCTATTTCCATATGCTCATCCTCCTCAAGCTAGGCGATGGACAGGCAGCAGATCCAGGTGAGCGACGAAGAGTGTCAAGTACCACGAGAAGAGAGCCGAAGGAGGAGGAGAAAGAAAGCCATAACCTCGTCCTGCTCCACCTCCATGGATCAGATCTCTGTCGAGTTTGTGCTGCCCACAGCTGCGCGGGGTGGAAGTGGCCCCGACACTCTGCAGCTGGACGTGGCTGGGAACTGGACTGTCGAACAGGTCCGGCTCGTTCACTCCTTTTCTTCTCAGACCCGCGTACCGTCTGTTGTAGATGTTAAAAATCCTCACTGCGCCTCGTTTGCAGGTGAAAGCCCAGGTATGGATGAAGGCAGTGACTTCGAACCTGTGCCCTGAGTTCTACCAGCGCTTCTCTCCTGACCATTGCATCCTGTTGTACCAGAAGAAGGGCAACGTTTGCGAGATCTATGACAAGCACCAGGTCTTCCAGACGCTAGACTGCATTCGCTACTGGAGAGGTACCACGACCCACTTCTACCTGCAATCAGAGTCTGAGCTGGTCTTTAGCTGTGATGTAAAAATCATGTTTTGTTAAATCATGTTAAATTGTTTTTTGTTTGTTTGTTTGTTTCAAAAGCTCTGAAGAAGGATGTGGGGCGGATTCAGCTAGTGCCCCGCCCACAGCCCTCACAGGAGTCTGTGGAGTACCAGCGCTACCTGAACTACCTGATTGGCTACGACGTAACCGACGTCAGCAACGTCCACGACGACGAGCTGGAGTTCACACGCAGGAAGCTGCTGACCCCACGACGCATAGAGCTGTCGGAACGCGACCCAAAGCTCTACTCCATGGACCCCTGGGTGACACGCAAGCCTCTGCCCGAGCACCTGCTCTCCAAGGTGTGTGTGTGTGTGTTTATAATAGTATAACACAGTTAGCACTGTTAGCTTTAATTACTGCAGTTCAACATGACTTAGATGTATATGCAAGGTTTGACCCAGAACTCCAAGCCCTGCAGACTTAAATGAAAACCTCTGTAAAATGATGTAGATGTTTTCCTATAATTATAAAGTAGAAAAGAAAAACGGGCTAGGTTATTTAAAAAAAATGGATCAACCTTTGCTACAGCTTCTGCTTCAGTCATAATAATTCATTTTGAAACCTAAAAAAAGTATTAGCTCCACACTTCATCTGCCTGTTCTCTCTTCTTCTTGAGTTATAAAGTCTGTGCTTGCGCTGATGACTGATACAGCTTTAGTCACACATACAAGTGTGACTTGGAGTAGTAAGTTCACTAAAGAGCCACTTTCTTCACCAGCCTGAGCTTACAGAATAGATGGGGATGTCTGTTGCTACAGAAACCACCTCCTCTAGCCTTGTATACACCTATTTGCCTCCGAGTTGTGTGATTGTAATGACAGGTGATTGGATCCTGGAGCGTATTACTACCAGTGTGAAACCCCAGGCTCTTCATATAAAGTTCTTGCAAAAACACTGACTGTGGAGTGATTTTCTTGGAGAACAGGGCAGAGAATGAGAGCAGCGAGTTTTGCCTTTGAATGAGATGAGAAAAATAGTGCATCAAGAAAACTGCAGATCAACAGGCTGAACTTGAACTTTCAACTGTTTGATGAATTTCTCAGTTTAGTCTTAATTAGAAATTATGTTCCACTAAATGACTGACCCTCCAAAAGTTGATTCTGTTCATCTGGATGTAGCGTTTTCAGTGGGAGAAACGTTTCGTCACTTATCCAAGTGACTTCTTCAGTTCCAGTTTTATAGACAGTACATTTGCATAATGACAGAAACTAGCACCACTGAAGGAACAGTGGGCTGGGAGGTCAGTTCCTTCATCATGATTATGCAAATTCTCATGACCATTGATCAAAGACCACTGATCAATGGCCATGAGTACCATTCACAGAGAGTTGGGGAATGGCTGCAATCACAGCATTGTAAGATGGCGAAAGAGGAGGGTCCTAAGGGTACTTAGGCCCCCTCCTCGATTCAGAGATGGTCTTTTTCTCTTTTCACCTAAATGGCCTCCTTGACTCCAAACCAGCGTTCCTTCCTGTCCAGGATGTGTACATCCTCATTATTGAAAGAGTGTCCACTGGCCTGTAGGTGTAAATAGACTGCAGAGTCCTGGCCTGACGAGGTAGCTCTTCTGTGTTGTGCTGTTCGCTTTGCCAGAGGTTGTTTGGTTTCCCCGATGTATGCCCCAATGAGATGCGGTGTTTAGAAAAAATGCGTCTCAACTGTTCCAATAC